TCTCCTCTTCTCTCTCGTATGTTCCTTATCTCAGTTAGTTTTACAATTGTCCACATAAATGCCAAAGGTAGGAATTAGGGTCCCTTCTCAGACTCCTTTCCCTCCCTTACCTCACTCTTTCATATCCAATCCCTAACTAAGTCTACCTTTTAAATACTTAAGAGGGAGGATGCAGGGAATTTTGTGAAAAATTTTCCATTTCGGCTCCCAACATACCACCCAACTTCAAGTTCTTGCCATCTCGTGTGAGGAGTATGGCAATTGTCTTATAACTATCTTTTTTAGCAAGGGAGGCATGTGTTCTGCCTCATCCTCCTGAAAGTCCTGTTTTTAGGCCTGAATAAAGCAGTATACTTTACAGGCGGGAAACCTCCACTTCCAATATCCTCCTTCTAATTCAACCAGACAAAAGCCAAGGACACAGAGGTTTTTGTAAAATGCAAATCTGATCTGGCTTTTCCCCAGGGCTAAAACTTTCAAGATCAGCAGGATAAAATCTGAACTCCTTTGTAAGAGAAAGACCTTTCTGAACTGCTTAGCCTCTGGTGTTATTTCTCCCCACAACCTACTTCTTTGTTCTTATGCTTCATCTTACCTCAACTTAACCTGTGGCTGCAGGGTTGTGGAAGGATATGGGCACTTTCTAGGTCTTCTTATCAAAGGTCATGCCTAGAGCTAAATCCTTTGGGCAAAGCAGCCTTTGAGTCTTTCCTTGCAAGGATGGATGGTTTAGAAACGATGGAGTCAAACTTTGGAGCTGTTCACTTTTGCTTTTTTCTACTCTTCCTTCAGGTGGGAGAGCTTTTTCTCTGTCACCAGGAGCTGAGAATCATCGCTCTCTGGTGAAGGCAAGGCCCTTGGGCCTGCCTTGTAGTCTTGGCACAGAATCGAAGCTCTAAAAATATTTGCTGGATAAGTCAAGGAATTAATCCTTAAAAACATGTCATCCTCTCTTTCTCTTCGAGTTGCCAACCCCCCACTCCCTACAACCACCAAATTCACATTTTCCTTTCCTTTATACCTCAGCAGGAGTGTGCAGACAGCACTCTTTTAGAACTCATATATAAATAACTGTATATATATGTATATATATATAAACAGAATGTTATATATATGTAACCCATATATAACATATATTTAGTTATATATGTTATGTTATTAACTGAAATTAATATAGTTAATAATGCTGCATTACATCTTTGAAAGTTGCTAAGTAAATCTTAAAAGTTGTCATAAGAAAAATAAATTTTTGTAACTGTGTGAGGTGATGGATGTTAACTAGATTTATTGTAGTGATCATTTCACAATGTATACAAACATCGCATCATTATGTCGTACATCTGAAACTAATACAATATTATATGTCAGTTATACCTCAATAAAAAATAATTAAAAAAAAAGAATTAATGGGTTGAACTCGATTTATCTTTGTGCTCTTTCAAGATTTCATTTGATTAACTTCATCATGGTCACCTAAAAGAAATTTGAACAGATGCAAGAAAAGTTATAATAAAATTACTAATATCTACATGTTAAGAGGGGACTTTGTGCCAGGCACTGTGTTAAGCACTTTTGGAGGTTTTCTTAACTTGGGGACTGGTGAACTTGGATAGGAAAAAGAAATTACATCTTTAATATCTCTAACCTCTAACTGAAATTTAGCATGTCCTTCACGGATGAATGTTGGCAACAAATTACAGTCAGAAGATAAGTACCTGCGGCTTTGTCACTAAGAAAAGTTACATTTTCATACCCCATATTTGAGATATGAAGTATGTTACAAATATCTCATACTTAACTGTTTCGAAGTTACAATAGTTATAAGACGGGTCTTGATGTTTAATATTTAATATATTAATGAAGAAGCACACGTGTTACTATACCGCAGATTATTTTAATTGTTTGATAACTGTTTCTGTAGTATAATTGGTTTTCTTTGTTATCCTATTTTAATGCTTTTTAAAATCTAATTTGAGAAGGGCTCCATTGGCTTCGTCGCGAAACCAGAGGGCTCCCAGGCACCGAAAAGGTTAAGAAGCCCCGCGCCCGCAGCGACCGCCGGGTGCTGGCAATGACCTTGAGCCAGACTTCACTGAAGGGGACTCGGGGTTGGAGACCGGGACCGGAAGCCCGAGCAAGGTCTGCGAAGGGTCTGAGGAGCAACCCAGGGAAAGAACTTCACGGTCCCAGCCTCCAGCCGGGCCGGCGCGAGGCGACTCCTAGCAGCACGGACTTCGGGGCGACCTAGAAGGGCTCGGAAGTGTGTCCCGGCGCCGTGCGGCCGCAGGGGCGGGGCGTCGGGGTGCGCGTCTGGCCACTTCTGCTGACAGTTCAAGTACGGCGTTTGTAGGTTATTTGCATGACCCCGGGTGGAAGCTATCGCAGGGTCTGCAAGGGTATGACGTACATTTCCCAAGGAGCACAGTGACCACTGTTGAGACTAGAACGAAGAGGGGACAAGGGCAGATACGAAAAATGTTTCCCTCCCTCTTCTTTCCAACTCTTAGGGGACCAATGCCTCAATTCTGATGGTCAGAAATTTGATTACTGAAAACTCTGGATCACTCAGGCTGTTTCATGTCAGACACCCAAATTCTCAGAGTATTAATAAACCAGGAATGTTAATTTATGAATTTACAAATAGGAATGTAAATGCCAAATGGATCAGAAGAGTGGGCAAGAGAGATTTAAAGGCTAATTTATAATTTCCTAATTTGTTCTTGTCCACTTCATAAGTATTTGTCTAAAAAATTATCATCCTTGTACAGAAATAATATCCCTTCTAGCTTTATGTTGCTAGAGATACACTAAAATTCTAAATTCCATATGACCACTTTTCCCCTGGAATTCACTTTCCTTGCATTACTAATCTTCTTCATTGGAAATTACAACTGCTTAGCTAGCAGAATATTATTACTTACATTTGACTGTTTCCTAGTGGTATCTTGGGAAATTCCTTAATTTACTCAGAAACACCATATATATTTTTGGATGGATTACCTTTGAGGTTATACCAATGATCTTTTTAACAATGAGGAGACTTCTTGGGCTTGGAGTTCTAGACATGGGTCTTAATCTGAATTTTACTCTCACTGTATGACCCCAGGGCAAATTATTTAATCTCTGTCTCAGTTTCACTAAATATAAAAATGGGAACAGTAATATGATTCAATTCATAGGGTCATGGAAATAAAATTATGCATGCATTATAAATCACTGAGCAGAACAGTGTTTGGCAAACAAATAAGCACTTAATGAGAAATACCTTATTATTTTAAAAAGCCCAATATAACTTATTTGGTTACACATTTAAACTTTTTTTGATTCAAGAATACTTTATGGAACACCTACTATGCACAATATTCTCTTAACATCTTTACAAATGTTACTACTCTTACTAGAAGTCTTTTACCCACCCCTTGCTTGACCAACTTCTGTTTTCATTTTGCTGCTTAGGTGTCAATTATGCCTCAGAAAGTGCTTCCTAATACCCTTTCATGCTCTGGCATCAGAGTCAGGGCCTCCTGCAGTATTATCACAACACCAAGCACACAGTGCTGACTTTCCTGAATTTGACTTTGGATTCTTGACAACAGGGAATGTTTATCTTTGATCCTGTTCTGTTGTTTGGCAAAGAGAAAGCACAGATAATATTTGTAATTTACCAATTAAAATGGGGTGGGAATAGTTGAGCAGAGGAAGGATGGAAACATAACAGGACAAAGTAGAATTTCCAGCAGTTCAGTTGTGACAGCCATCTAACTGGTCTTTCTCCTTCAACTCTTCCCCCGCTTACACCCTATTGCCCATGCATCAGCCATACACACACACACACACACACACACACACACACACAGATAACTTAGATTGTGTGGTTTCTCTATTCAAAACTCTAATGGCATCCCATCATTTTCAGAGAAAAGTGACAATGTGGAGAATCTTCCATTTTCTGGCCCCTGGCTATCTCTGCAATCATATCAACTATCACTCTTACTCTCCCTCACGCCAATTCAGCCACTTCTGCCTCCTTGTTCTTCCTCAGTATGCCAAACATTTTTTTTTTTCTCGGTACACAGGCCTCTCACTGTTGCGGCCTCTCCCGTTGCGGAGCACAGGCTCCGGACGCGCAGGCTCCGGACGCGCAGGCTCAGCGGCCACGGCTCACGGGCCCAGCCGCTCCGTGGCACGTGGGATCCTCCCGGACCGGGGCACGAACCCGTATCCCCTGCATCGGCAGGCGGCCTCTCAACCACTGTGCCACCAGGGAAGCCCTGCCAAACATATTTTTACCTCATCTGTGCATTTGCTTTTTCCTCTGCTGGAATGTTTTCCCCTCAGAGTCAGTCTCTTATTCCTTTACTTCATTAAGAGCTTATTCTTTTACTTCATTAAGAGCTCTGCTCAAATGTCATCTCATCAGAGAGGACTTCTCTAATCACCCTATCTAAATAGCACCCACTTACACTTGTTTATTTAAAGCACCCTGTCACATACATTTGTGCATCTTCTGCACCCTCCCCCACTAGAGTATAAGCTTGGTGAAAGCAGAGACTTTGTTTTGTTCACTGTTGTACCTCCAGCACTTAGACAATGCCTAGAACTAGAAAAAGGAAAAGAAGGTACAATGACTGTGAAGAAACAAAACAAAAAGAATATAGTTATCTATGTAGAAAGCCCCAAAGAATACACAGACATAAGAATTAATGAGTTTTAGCAAGGTTGTTGAATATAAAAATTAGCTGAAAACAGAAAATGTAGCAACTAAAAACATACCATATAAAGTAGCATCCAAAAGTGTACAGTCCCTAAGAAATATTAACAAAAGAAAACGTTTATGGAGAAAATTATAAAACTTTATTGAAAGACATTTAGAAAGCCTAAATAAATGGAGAATTATACCATGTTCATGGATTGGAAGACTCAATATTATAATTAATCTATAAATTTAATACAAATCCAATAAAAATTCCACCTTTTGTTAGTTTGATTTGGAACTTGTCAATCTAATTCTAGAAGTTATATGGAAAAGCAGTTGGCTAAGAATATAGCCAAGATACTCGAACGAAGAAAAGTTTGGTGGTGATGTTAAAGGTGGAGGTGGTATTTGTCCTGAGATATCAAGACCTTTTTCTAAAGTTGTAGTACTCAGGATTGTATAGTATTGCCACAAGGTTAGACAAATTGACCAGTGAGTCAGAATCGAAACCATCAACAGACCTCTCCCAGCTCCCCCCACCCCCGCCCCGTGCGAAAGAAACTTGATTTATGAAAAAAGCCACTATTACAGATCAGTGGGGAAAGGATGAACTTTTCAGAAAAGTTGGGACAACCAAGTGGTTGGGACAACCACTTACCATATGGAAAAAATATTATATTGAATTACTATCTCATATTTTTGCAAAAATCAGTTCAGGGAAGACTAAAGACAAATGTGAAAAGCAAAACTATAAAACTTTTACAAGGCAGTAAAGGATATCTTTATGACTTGGAGTAGGAAATGATCCCTCCCCTCCCATGAAGCCAACTTGTATCCAGCTTTATAAGATACTTTTCAAAAATAGTTACTTCCAGCAGGACATGGGTGACAATCCGTAACATCTTACAACTTTCAAACTCCCCTCTCCAAAAAGTCAGCAAAGTCTGTTGCTGCAATGAACAGGAAAGGTTTTCAGAAAGGGTGAATATTTCACATGAGGCATATAAGAGCTTTTCACAGGTCACCTCTGACATGGAGGAAAGGAACTAAAAACTCCAGGACTATTAATGAGATGATCCACAAACTACAAACAGGAATCCTGGCTCTTTTGAGCAATACCATCTTGATGTCATCACTAGAAATCCTGAGTGTTGTTACCTGACGCAGCTGATTCTAGGGGTGCCAAGGCCGCATCATGACTCTTGGTTTCAGGAAGTCAAGGATGTGTTTTTGATGGCATCAGGAAAGGAGAAGACATGAAGTTTTGCTTCCCCACACGGTAAGGCTTCTGAGCCATAGTGGCTGTCATGTGTGAATGTCGGAGAATCTCTCCTGGGAACCAAGAATAATCTTCAAATACGATAGAAAATTCTGTTTTCCCCCATTTCAATCCAGCTTCTGAAACATTCTACTAGTGGTTATTTTGCCCTTTCCACAAAAGATAACAACAAAGCGTCTTGTGTGCTAACAACATAACTTAAAAAAAAAAAATCTACGTTTTTACAAAATTTGATTTAAAAAAAATAGTATTTCAAACAGTAGAGTCACTAGAAGTACAGAGCTATCAAAAATGTATACTTCACTTGGCATCCCCGGTGCCTTCTGCTTTCTGTGACTGGACTGTGGAGGCGTCTCGGTTTTTTGCAGGGTTGTTCCCATCTTTGTTGCCTTCTGCTTTCCCCTTTCTCCCTTTGGCCAGCTTCTCTCCCTTCTTTGCAGGGGCCTTTTTTGCCCTGGGCTCTGGTTTTGGAGGGGCAGGTTTAGCAGACAACCGTGCCGATCTCCTCTGTGGCTCATCCTTCACCTTTGCTTTGTCACCTTTAGCATCTCCTTTTGCCTTTCTCTTGGGCATGGTGGCAGTAGTGCCTGGCAGATGGCTTTACCAGCCCAAGTGGTTCTTCTGTCTTCCTCACTGCTCCTAGAAAGATTTCTTTAACAAGACACAAAAAGTGTAAACCGTAAAGGAAAAGTCTGACAAATTTAACTACATTAAAATTCAAATTTGACTATATTAAAATTAGTAATTTTTATATAGCAAAAAGATGCATAAAAAGAAGATAAGTTATAAGCTGGGGAAAAGATATTCATAACACATATAACTGACAAAGGATTAGAGTCCAGAATATGTAAAGAATTCCTACAGATCTATGAGAAAAGGACAAAATGAAAATTTAAAAACAATGGGCAAAAGTGTTAATACGTACTTCTTAGAAAAAGCATGAATGGTGAATAAGCAAAAAAAAAAAAAAGGTCAACTTCATTAGTAATATGGGAATGAATATAAAAATCACAGGATATAACATTTCACATCCATCAAATTGGTGAAAACTATATTGTCTGACAATATTAAGGGCTCAGCAGATGAGGAACAATTAAAACACATACACTGCTAGGGTGTGTGTTTATATGTGTGTAGATTAGTGTGTGGCATTATTTAAAGCAATTTCACTTCTAGGTGTTTACCTGGAGGAATTCTTGGGGCTGTGCACAGGAGACCCCTACAAGAATGTTTCTAGCAACCCTGTAATTTCAAAAACCTGGAAACCATTCAGTGTCCTGCAATAGAATAGATAAATACATTTTGGTAATACCTATGCAAGGGAATACTATGCAGCAGCAGAAATGAATAGATTACAGCTATATGCAAAACCATGGACGAATCTCAAGAACATAATGTTGAGCAAAAAAGAGCGAGTTACAAGATGGATCTACAGTATGGATCCATTTATAAATGTAAAACTAAATGACTTGTTTAGGCTACAAGTAGGTAGTCAAAAAAGCAAGAGATAAATTTAAAAATCAGGACAGTAGTCACCTCAGGGAGTTAAGAAAAGGATGGTGGTTGGACAGGGCATGGGAGTTCTCTTCCTTAAACTGGAGGCGGGTGGGGAACAACACAGGGTTAATACACCATTATTCTCTATATTTTACAGAGAGTGATTTTATGTGTCTGCTCAAGAATAAAAGCCACTTTAAGAAGGTGCGCAGCCCCGAGCACAGAGTCAAGGCCACACAAATAGACGTGATTTATTTCGATTTTGGGCAATTAGGACCCAGGTCCATGGCTGGCATTCAAACACTGTGGGACTTTTTTAAAGCTCTGGGACAAAACTAGCCACTCACACCTTCTGCCCCACCCCTGAAAATGTTTCCTAGGGAATTCTGTAACCCTATGCCCTGCGCTACTCCACAATGTTTTATTTTAAGAAAAAAAAATTATTATCTTTTCTCTAAATTGCTCCAGAGTTTTGTTTTGTGTTTTTGCTCGACCTCACCATCTAGATAGAATGGGCAAACATGGTCCTTGAGCAAACTTAGATTTTTTTTTTTTTGAGCAAACTTAAAGATTTGATTTTTATGTTCTTTGGATAACAAAGGCAACCACCTGTAAATGGTGCGAAAACATCAAATTATCACTTGGTAATTTGATTATATGATAATTTCGTTATCTATTTTTCTATTTTCTATCTACTTTCATTATCTATTCTTCCCCCATTTTTCCACTATGACTAGAATTTCTGGAAATTTTGCAGTTTTCCTTTCTTCTCATGGAACAGAGGGAGATGTGAGAGTTAGTATAAAGAAGAGGGAAGAAGCCAAAGTGGGAGTGCGCCTTGAATCAGTCATTATTTCCCTTGGTACCTTGTAAGGAACTTTGGGAACAGAGATTAAAAATTGAGAGGAGAAACAGTTCTAATCTCACGTTGAACAGCAGTTCACTGAAAAGCTAATAAGGAATTAGCTGGGCCCTTCTCTTCCCTTACTGTGCTCTTGCCTTGCCTCTAAATATTCTAAATTACTGGTGGGTCCAAAAGTCCCGGTTGCCACAGAGACACCCTGCAATTCTGCTGACCCAGCCAGACCCAACCTGCTCGCTCCCAAGGACATCTTTCCCTAGACATCACATGAATTTATGCCTAGTTTACTTTCTCCCAAATGCACCACTAAAGAAATGTTTGGACAATTCTTAAAGAACAAAAGTGTTGTGTTGTTGTTGTTGTTGTTTTATCCAAAATCGAACACAATGAAGAAAAAATGTGCAAAGAAAATAATTGAGAAGGATGCCAGAGATCACAAAGGTCAACTCTGGGTATGGTAATGGTGTGCCCAGAAAGGAACAGGGAGGAAAAGACAGCTGTTCTTACCATGAAGAAAGCAATATTGAGAGATTTTTTACGGCATGAAAATCATTTGGTCTAATATTGGGTGACTTGTTTTGCGCCTGTTGCCCTAGTATATTATTAATAATGCTCCCTTTTACTCTCAAAAGTGTGCCAACTTGGACAATAAATAAGGTCACCCTAAATACTCTGCATATATTCTTAAAGGTCTTTTTGTTACCAGAGAATGAGAGAGGAAACCAAAGTGAGAGCTTCTGTTCTACGACACACCTCCCTAAACAATGGACACTCCATACCATTCTCCTTCCATCTCACTCCAAAATTGTGTTTCTTAGCCCATGTCCTGTCCTGGGAATGCTCACAGTCTGTTTCCTAGGCTCAGTCTTCATGTTGGATCCCTTGCAGTCCATCCCAAGCAGGGGAACCACGATCAGCACGTGTCAAAGGCCCAAACACAGCAGGTGACAATAAAGATAAACTCAAGGAAAAGAGGCCACTAGCTGGATTCTGGATCTGAGTATATGAATATAGATTAGTTCCTTGAAACTCACATTTAGGAAGCTTATCAGGAGAACAGGTGGCTGACCTTACAAATATAGGAGACAGATGCACAAATAATGAAAAAGGGCTGGTGGGATAAAAGGTTATTTCATTTTCATGAAGGCCAAGGAGGTCAGGGAGGGAGAGGCTCTCACCACACAGTGGTGTTAATTTAAAAGAAATTATTTGAGATGGAGAACAGGGAAGATTTTTAGGGCAATGAAATTATTCTGTATGCTACTGACTGTAATGGTGGATACATGACATTACGCACTGGACAAAACCCATAGAACTGTATACAGAGCATGGAACCCTAATGTAAATAATAATAAGAATCAGTTAACAATAATAATTTGTTAATAATAATGTATAAATATTGGCTCATCTATTGTAACAAAACTACCACACCAATGCAAGTAGTTAATAATGGAGAAAATGAGGTAGAGGGAGGAGAAATATATGAGAACTCTGTACTTTCTGCTCAATTTTTCTGTAAACCTGAAACTGTTCTAAAAAAATAAAGTCTACTAACTAAAAACAAATAAATACATTTTAAGAATTAAAAAAAGAAAAAATAATGTTAGGTAATAAAATATATAAGTCATAGGATTACAAATATTCCATCATGCATGTGAATAAAAAGAAAAATTATTAACTGGCAGATAAATCTTTTTTTTAAAGACTTTTTTTTACTTTAAAAATTTTATAGTTTTTTAAATTGAAATATAGTTGATGTGCAATATTATTTTAGTTTCAGGAGTGGCAGATAAATCTTTTAAGTAATATAACTTTTGGGAATACAGAGATTTATCAATGAGGCAAGAAATTATCAAGACAGATACTGAGGTTATTTTCCCAAGACATGGCAACAATTTTAAAAGTTGTAGGAATCTAACAATTCCCTTTTGTTAAAATAACACTTTCCAGGGCAAAATTATATTAACAGACAACAGAACAAGTTAGTGCAATTTTTGAATAACATGTCTTCATATTGTAAAGAACTGGACTGAAATTCTTGTGAAAGTCTCAGTTTAACTCTTCATTTAATGAACTTGCTGGTTTTAGGATGTGGAAAGGTATCCCTCTTAACAGCCTCAAGGGGAGAGGGAACATCCATTTCTTAGAGTTCTTTTCTTACCGATGAAGACTTGAATTTTTTTAATTTTAGAAAAAGACCTATATACTTAAATGTACTGACAGAAATAGCCTAAAAAAAAAAGACTAATAGAGAAATAAAAAGCAAACGATGTATTTCTTCTGCAATAAAAATATGCAAATGATTAGTAAGATGAGGAGATGCAGGTATGCTAAAATCTTCTGCAAAGTTAACTTCTGGGAATTCCCCAAACTGTTTCAATAATATACAAAACACACCAATCTCTGTTCCCAGAAATGGGCTGAATTTGTGTCCGTGCCCGCCCCCCCCACAAATTCATAAGTTTAAGTCCTAACCCTCAGTACCTCAGACTGTGACTGTACTGGGAGATGGGGCCTTTAAAGAGGTGATTAATGTAAAATGAGGTCTTATGGGTAGGTCTTAATCCAATATGACTAATGTCATACTGGAGATTAGGACACAGACAATACAAAGAGAGAGAGGACCATGTAAGGATACAGCAAGAAAACCAAACCTGCCACCACCTTGATCTTGGACTTCCAGCCTCCAGGACTGTGAGAATATAAATTTCTGTTATTTATGATATTCAGTCTGTGACATTTTGTTATGGCAGTCCTAGCAAACTAATACAGAAGGAAAGAGTATAAAGATCTCAATGACCTATGATGCATCTCGGATTAGATTAATTTTGATGTTTTGCCCAGCTCTCAGAATATTTTTTCCATGTTTTTTTTTTCTCTTTCATCATGAGTCTCTCTCCAGTATCCAAGGACCAAATCCCACCTCATCCAATACACACTCCCACGCCATCCCCAGCAGAGGCACATTTTAGCAACGTCCTTTCGCTCCCTTGACCGTTACTGAGCTGGGTTCCAAGGAGTTTGTTCTAATTTGGGGTCTAGTCTCAATCCCACCCCAAAGCCAGAAGGCCACCCTCTTCTCTCTGCCTCTTATTTATGGCAAGATAGTTAGCCTTGGGGCTGGAGAGAAGACTTGGAAGAAGATTACAACACCAAGCTTAGGAAGGAGAGAATAGAGGATATAGTAAAAAAAAACAAACAAATAAAAGACCCTATTCAAGGTGCAGCGCTATACAGGAGCAAGAGGTCACACAGCGTCAGCCACTCCCCAGGGCCTATTTGTTCTCCACCTTTCAAAGGAAATATCAGACAAGGTGAGCAGCCGGGAGCTTCCATTTGAGGTTAAATGAGGGAGACTGGGGGAGGAAGGGAAGGATAGTGGGAGAAGGTGAGAAAGGGCAGAGTGTCTAAAATGGTAGGGCTGCTGCTTCATCTTGCCAGAACACACCTGGTTTAAAGAGAAGGAGAGAGCCATAAGCTTCAAACAGTCACCCATCTGCAACAGGTTGGCGTGGGGCACACTCAGCTTCCCAGCTAAAGTATTCCTGCCCCTTGGCATCATAGAAAGATGGAGAGGACAAATCCCCATCACCTCCTAGGCCCAAGACCCTTGCTCCTCGCAGGGCACCACATTAACTCACCTGTATTTCTGAGTGGTATAGAGGGAATTTTATTATTTTTAAAAAAATTTTTAACATCTTTATTGGAGTATAATTGCTTTACAATGGTGTGTTAGTTTCTGCTTTATAACAAAGTGAATCAGCTAGACATATACATATGTCTCCATATCTCCTCCCTCTTGCGTCTCCCTATAGAGGGAATTTTAAATGAAAATGTATTAGACAAATTTGCACTGAGCACCTGCCAAACTTATTGTCTTGCTAACAAGGGAAACTACAAGATGATAAAAGCATTGGTGTTTCAGAGAAGGTCTGAAAATGGAGGAATAATAGGGCTGGGGAAGGGATGCCTATACAAGTTGCCTGTAAAAAAAAAAAAAAAAGGAAGGGAGGGAGGGAGGGAGGAAGAGTAAACAGTTTATTCTTGTCTTATGGCCATAAAAACATCACATTCCTGTCAGTCATTTGAGGGAATCTGGAGCGATGCGATCTGAGACACTAGGCCTTGGCTATCTCTTAGAAACAGTAATAATAATAATAATACATCTAAGAAGAAGATCCTGAGAATATACCTGAGGCTGTTTGGTGTTATATCAAGAGTTCTTTCCCAGAAAAGCATTTGATAGATCCAATTAACATGGAAGCAGGCCATGTCAGAAACAGCGGTAAGAGGCCAGACACTAGGGCACAAGTCCTGATTTTAAACAAGTGCTGCCAGTGACCTTTCTCAAGCTTCAAGGCAATACGCAAAATCCACAGTTGCCCCATTTCTTAACTTTGGGATCTTTTTTTTCTTTTTGACAGGAAGAGCAGAAGGCCAAAGCGGAGGAAGACTCGACCCTTCGGGGTCCCCTCGGGAGGGGGCACCTCGTAAGCTGGGGAGGGGAGGCGAGAAAGAACCCAGGCCAGGGCAGCCCAGCCCACCCGCCACGACCTCTTCCAGGCCACGGCCCTGCTGGCCCAAAGCTTTCAAATCCCCTCCTCGCCTCCCTTTTTTCTGCTCTTCAGTCTCTGTGGGGACTTATCCCAGAAGGGCCTGCGATCTTCACCTCCCGGCTTCCGCTTTTCCCAGAGATTCACACTCGAAGCCCAGGAGAGCCACTGCAGCTGTTCTGGAGAGTGGAAAGCAAGGTGGAAATGTCGGGGGCCCGAGGTCACCTAATCACGACGAGGGCCAGATTGCAGGAGGGTCCCAAATCTATGGAGGGCGGCGGGACTACCCCCATTTCCCGGAGACGCACGCTAAGGCCCCCAAGGTACTCACCCGAGTCTCGCGGCCGTGTGAGGGGCGCGAGGCTGCCAGCTGCGGGCCTGCCGCGCAGGTGCTCTCGGCTGGGGCAGGGCCGGCGCGGACAGTGGGCCAGCGAAGAGACGCCCGGAGCCGGGCGCTGCCGGGAACAGGAAGGCAAGGCGAGGATGCGCTTCCGGGGCTGCGGGCGTCGGGCCGCCTTGCAGAGCCGGGGACAGCCCGGTTCTCCCCCTCGCGATGCTTGTGTCCGCCTCCGGGGCCGCGGGCTCCGGACCCACCTCGAGCAGCGTCGCTTCAGCACCACAGCCTGGGGCAAGAGAGACAAGAAAAGGAGGCGTGAAGAGTTTTTAAATAAATGGAGTTTTAAAAGAAATCCACACAGGTAGGGGGGAAAAAAAAAAAGACCCTGTTTCCGCCCGGTTTCGAACCGGGGACCTTTCGCGTGTGAGGCGAACGTGATAACCACTACACTACGGAAACTCGGTGGAAAGTGTTCACGCCTGCTGATAGTTCTCCCGACAGGGCACGCCCCTCCCTCCCTCCCACTTCCTCCCTTCCCCCCCCCCCGCCCCGCCCCCCCCCGCCGCTTCGTCCCAGCAAATGTGCGTGGTTAATATGCGCGTGCGTCTTGTACCACTCTCCCAAATCAGAGAGGCCAATTGGATGCGCAAACCAAGCCCCTGCAGCGTACAGATCTGAAGCGAAATTCTTAATAATTTATTCTGGAAATGACCGGATGGGGGAGAACAAAAGAGACTTCAATCCCTTCACTATTACTTCTCAATCTGAACTTCTGGATCTTAATTTCTTCCTCATTGCTTACCAGGTTACCTCAAACCCATCCTCCAGCAGGAATGAGCTGGTGGGGCTGGGCGTGACACGGGGCCCACGCACATTTCCCAGTCTGGCTTTGGCTAGTGCCACCGCATGGCCGGACGCGGAATTTGCTCTGCAAAGGAATGATGACCCTGGCTGTGGTCAAAAGCGGGGCCTTCTCGCTCCTGAGACTTCCAGGCAAACTTCACCTTGTAATGGATTTTCTAACTCTATTGGGTTCCTCAGTGGTCGGCAGAGGAAAGAAGTAAAACGGTGGTGGGTACTCCGAGCCAGCCAGGAGTCGAACCTGGAATCTTCTGATCCGTAGTCAGACGCGTTATCCATTGCGCCACTGGCCCTGCACCTGAGCAGCCAGTAGGCGGGCATGCCTTCATCAGAAACCAGGCGGCGGCAACCGGTCCACCTTGTGGGGTCTACGCCTGGCCCTGAAAGCCCCGTCCTCCTGGCTAACTCAGACTGCAGCGCGTGGCCTCCCCAGGCGGCCAGTTCGCCTGCACGGGCCCTAGCGTCTGTGCTGCTTTTTCAGTCTGTCTGTACAGACCCTGGCATTCTCTGCCCCAGTACCATCTCTTCGTTCATGCATTCATTCATTCAACCAATATGGCACCGGAAATACAACTGTGAAGAAAACAGAGGTGATCCTTGCTCTCAAGAAGATTGCATGGACGTAGCGAAGACGATAATAAAGCACTAAATAAAATAATGGTGATAAGCACTTAGAGGAAAAAAGACCAACGGGAAAGAGAATGGAAAAGCCCAGCAGGAAAGGTTATGAACAATAAATACGGGTATCAGGGAAAAGAGCGACCTGGAACTGGGGAAATCTCCAGGGCAAAGGCATGGAGGTGGGAGCGTGCATGGGATGTTCCAGCAATGTCGAGAAGGCCAGTGCTGAGCGGAAAGGGCTAGGAGACCTCCGGGAGATGACCTCTGGCCTTGTACACCCTTGTATGGGCTTTGGCTATTACTGTGTAGGAAATTGGAAACCGTTGTAGGGTGACAATATATCTGACATTCTTTCTTGTCTCTCCTTGGGTCGTTGAAAACATTTTATTTCCAATATTTACTTAAGCAAGACTCTATGCTAAGCACCCTCACCGCATGCTGCTCCTACCTCAGGACATACATTTCAGAATTTGACACCTTTAAAAGGAGCATTTGTTTGCTTTCTCAGGAAGCGTCTCTTATGTGTGCCTTTCAGCCTGTCTATATTTCTGAGAAGGAATCATTATCTCCATGCCTGGTGAGCATCGTAGATAAGTTGAGGGCTGGGGACACACAGTTTTGAGAGCATTAACCCTCTGTGGCCCCCTTTGCCTGGCAAAACAATAAAGCTATTCATTTCTACTTCACCCCCCCAAAAAAGAACTAAGTTGAGGGCTACTAAACAGAGTAAAACTGCCTGACATTGAGAATGTACACATTGTGTTTAGAAAATCTTTGTTTTCAGTTCATAAGGTTGCAACAGCCCTTAAGAAAAATGTACATGTTCCTATTTCTGCATAAACATTAAGGTAGATCTAGTTAGGGATTTCTCCCTAGATAGTAAATAGGGGTCTTCTGACCAGATTTGGTATTATGTACCCCTAGGAACTTTGGTGGTTATGGACTTCATCACAGAATAATACTTTTAAATATAAATTAAAAAATAAATACATAAGATTTCAAGGGGAAAACAATTATATTGAAATATGTTATCAAACTATTAAAAATTTATAATATTTATGCTCCGTTATTAATGCACCAAATGATAATATCCAGCAGGAGTTCTAATAAATACTATAATTTCAAAGCAGTAATAAGCATAAATAATATTTTAAGAAATTTGCAACAATTGTAATTTTCTGTGAAAATATTTGTGATTGCCAATAGTGATAAAGTCAAAAGGACTGAAATATACTGTGCTTTGTTGCCTACATTCATAATGGAAGAAAATACAAAATTTCAGTAAGAAGTTAGTCAAAATAAAAATTTATTTTCCCATCCGAGCTTACAGACTATCCCCTCCTCATCAGAAGAAAAAGAGATTTCTGTTCTAAAGAGGAGTTTGGAAACATGAACAATTGCGCCTGAATTTTCAGAAATGAAGCTGTGTGATTAGGCAACTCAAGCTGGCTGTTCTCTGCTCTCTGTACATCCCCTGCTCTACCAGTGCCTGCTTCACCTACACCCTACTTACATGACTGACCTTCCCTCTTAATTGTAGAGCCAAATCAGTAAATGCCTACTTACTCACCCGGGGCCCCAGCTACTGATTGTTCTAATCTTTAGATCAGAACATCTCCACCAAGATAGCTTATCAAAGGGGTGGTGAGGGGTATGCTCTTCAGCTGGTTTCCCTGGTAACCCATGAGCTAACCCGATGTCAATTCCCCATATAACTGGTAACCTCCCTCTTCCCCTGGGAGCGAAGGCTACTGCCAAGTACCGAACACGGTGGGGTGTCACTCCAGGACCTGGCTTCAGATGTGTAAGATCCCCCATCCATTAAACCACTGATGTCTCTGTAGCTGACTCTGAGCTCTTTCTTCCGGTCTTGAGGTGGGGCAAGTACAGGGCTTGCAGGCCTGTGGGGTGCAGCTCAACAGAAGCAAACTGAGGTACCTCTTGATTCTATTTTATCCTCATCACATACCCAGGATGGGAAGGCCAGATTCCAGGGCATCCCTGGAAGTCACAGGTCCCATCTTGCACCTCTAAAATGGGTTTCAACCCAGCTAGCTGGAGGCCATGCTCACATCTGCTCTCCTCATGTCTGCAAAGACCTCCCTTTGTTTTGAAGGGTTTTTTTTTTGTTTTTGTTTTGCCTTGAAGGTTTTGAAAGCTTCTTTTGGCGGCCTCAGATTTCTCTGCTCATGCTCTGACATGAGCTGAGGCATGCTTTCATTTTGTTTTTAGATATCTTTCTACTGGGACTTCTTTTCTGAGAGTTCCAGTTTCCAGCTTCCAGTCTTTTCTTCAGTAGTTGTTCCAGTCAGAGAAAGAGAAACAGAGTCCAGAAAAAACAGAACCAGTAGGAAAATATACATGTATTTCTAGGAGTTGGCTTACATGACTGTGGGGCCTGGGAAGTCTGAAATCTGTAGTGTAGGCTGGCAGTCTAGAAAATCTCAGGCAGGAGCTGATGCTACAGTCTTGAGACAGAATTTCTTCTTTCTTAGGAAAACCTCCATTTTGCTCTTAAAGTCTTTAACTTGTTGGATAAGGCCCACTCACATTACTGAGGATAATCTCTTACTTATAGTCAACTAATTGTAGAAGTTAACCACACAAAAATACCTTCACAGCAACATCTAGATTAATGTTTAATTGAATAACTGGGCTCTATAGACTAGCCAAGTTGACATGTAAAACCAGCCATTACTGCGGTGGACTCTCCTCCTCCTCTGGGTCACAGTGCACTATTCTTCCAGTTTCTCTCCCAAGCATTTGGAAAGTAGTAGCACTGCCAGCCATTTCCACTGTCAGCAGTCTATGACACCACGATCTGCACCTTCTCCAATTTCAGTTGTGTGGAACAGAGCCATTGTGAGGGGCTTTTCCATGGTCTTTGCAGGTCACACCCAGATTTCTGGAAGTGATTGCTCTGAGTCTTAATTTTTCTCCCAAGACTTGTCTCTGGCTTGTTAAAAAACTCCTTTGACTTCCCAGAATTTCTGTGCAAATTTTGACAGCTGCCAGTCTAAGGAAAAACCCAGACCAAATATTGTTGGCTCTGTTGTCTTTCTGAATGTCTACCACAGTTTGGTCAAAGTCACGTTAGGTGTGACTCTGCTGTTTATGATTATCTTGGCTCCAAGCACATTAATAATACAATGGTTAATCTTATACTATTAAAGAAATCGGTGCTTATTTCATGGAGTGAATCAGACTGTGTGTTGAGTTCATAGACTTTCAACCGTTTTATGAAAAAGAAATCTAGCAGAGTCATGGGCTTTTTAACCTCTCCCCCAAATCATGTTTGTAGGCAGAGATTAGTGCCAATGGCTGGTTTAAAGTGAGACAGAGAAATCCTTCAATATTGATACAGTTCAGAAATACTGAAATGTTAATTTCAACATTTTCAGAACGGCAACAGATTTCAAGCAAGCAGCCAATCATAATTACGGGTTTCATTTGGGAAGTTACTTTCACAGCTATGGCAACAACTTGTAAACTCTTCCGAATTCCACTAAAGCCCTTTGCCTAAGGACGGATCTATTTCACAGAGAAGAGGATGAATTTGGAACAGTTACAAATACACAAGTCCCCATGAAAATATAGAAATTTTTGTGAATGCTTTCAATTTGACAGCTTGTCAAGCAGATCCTTTGGAAAAGTTTTCGGACAAGAAAGCGTCTCTCTTCCTCTAGCTTCAGAGGAGAGGAGACTGCTCCTTTATCTCTTTCCAAACAAGGTTTTAATGATGAAGTCTTGAATTTTTTAAAGATGCAACTTAGTTAAGCAAGAAGCAGGCGGTGGAACCCAATTTTACGGAAACAAATGGGGGTAAGGAAGAGCTGGAATTTTAATTAAAATCCGTGAAATAAAGAACACATAGCTTGCTTCCTGCAGGGACCAGTTCTTGATGTTGGAAGTGTTCTG